TGTCAACATTCACTGGCTGAAGAGGCCGAGGACTGAGGACCCACAGCCTTATCCCCAGCGCAGGCCCTGTTTGTGGGGTGGCACTGGCCAAGCTGGGGCAGTCTGGAGGGGCAGACAAAGCAGCCCGGCAGCCGGGCCGCCTGCTCGACTCCAAGGTGGCTTTTATTTCCTCTTCTGCAGATGCCAAGTCTCTGAACAAATATTTTCCTGGAGTGGAGGAACAACTTAGCTCTCTGCCTTAAGTGCTGGAAAGGGCAGCTGGGTAGCACAGGTTCCAGGAACCAGACAGAAAATGGGGCCTGGCTGTCGGGGAGGGGAGCTGCCCTGGTGGTGCCCACCGCCCCGGCTGTCTGGGGAGGGGCTTGGCTCCGCCTCCATCAGGCCCAGACAAGCAGCTGGCTCTCCATGTGCAGCTGGGAGAGATTTGCCCTGGGCCTCTCTTACCCATAAATTAGAATCCACTGGGAATCAGAAGAAAACCTAGGCCATGTGGGCCTCCCTCATTCCTGCTGAAAAAGCTACAAGTGAGGTTTAAAGGAACTAATTAGAAGCTCAGAAACCCTTTTATAAGCTGCTTATTTTTTTCGTTTAAGTTTCCTATTGCTGAGAAATAACATTCAGAGTACACTCATCTAAGCATACAGCTTGATGGTTTTTTTACATATATGTTCACTGTTGCAACCCACCCATATCAAGCCAGAGATTACTTCCAGCACCCTAAAAAGTTCTTCTGCGTTCCGGTCTCAGCAACACCACCTAGGACCCAGTGGTGGCCACTGGACTCTGTTATTACCAGCCAGTCCTGCCTTCTGAGTTTTATAGAGGTGGGAATCAGAGAGCATCACTCTTTTCTGTCTGGCTTCTTGAACTGAATATGTTGTCTGGGCGGCTTATCTATGTTGTATGTCTCAGTGTTTTACATATGTATGTTATCTGTGTCTCCGCATTTTGTTCTTTTTGATTGCTGAGTAGTATTCCATTGTATGCACCCGGCCACAGTTTACTTACCCATTCTCCTGCAGATCTTTCGTTTTTTTACTTCTGCACCCTGATGGCTGAAGCTTGCTGAGCCTCTCCCACACACCTTCCAGCAGCAGTGGCAGCCGCTGCACCCTCCCCAAGGGGTGTTTGGTTTCAGGACTTACTGCCATGCCCCATAGATGGGCACTCTCCTCCAGCACCCTATGGGTGGCCTCTATTTTTCATTCCCTTCTGAGGACTTTGGGGCTCCCAGGCAAGGATAGCAGCCCAGCCAGCCTCAAGGAACCCCCAGAGGCAGAGCGCCCCCCCCCCCCCCCCGCGGCCCCTCTTAACGGGTCTGTTCTCCAGGAGCACAGAGGGGAGCAAGAGGCCTGGGGAAACTTGGCTGCAGTAAGATGGTGCGGGGGGGGGGGGGGGGGGGGGGGGGGGGGGTAGTTGTGACCAGAAGTTGTGGGGCAGGGTTGGGGGGGGGAGAAGTGACCGGAAGTTGTGGGACTGTGAGGACTCAGAGCCTCTCCCTCCTTGTAGGTGATCAGGTGAGGGCAGAACCCTCCCCCGACCCCTGATCTGAGCATGGGCCTCTCAGTGAGCACCCCGGGGCGGGAGCTCATGGTGCCCCAAGACAGCCCAGCCCCCCAAGACAGCCCAGCCCCCCAAGACAGCCCAGCCCCCTCGTCTGCGAAGCTGGGGACCGGGGTGGGGGGCAGTGGGGGGGCCCTGGCCTTGAGGGGACTGGGCTGGGGGCAGCCAGGGCGGAGGGTGGAATCCCGGGCATCGCACACAGTGCTCCCGAGCCTTTCCCTCCAGGGCCTGCTTTGGGGGCCCCCACCCACCTCGGGGTGTGCGGCGGCCACTGCCCGTCCCTCCTGGTCCCTGAGCCTCCAGCCTGTTCGCTGGCCCGGAATTCGCCGCCATGGGCAGCACGGAGTCTCCCGTGGGGCAGCGGGGGAAGCGGGGAGGCACCGCACCCCTCCCCGCCCAACGCGGCCCTCCAGGCACCCCGGTCCCTGGGTCTCCGCCCTGCAGCCCTTTCCGTCCACACCTGCTCGCTCTTCACCGCCAGCAAGCGTCTCTGGAGCCCTGCTTTGGCCAGCAGCAGCCCAGCCTGCGTCTTCAGCCAGCAGTCCGTCTCCCCCTACACACACATACACACACACACACACACACACACACACACACACTGGAAAGGTCAACTGTACCCTTCACACACACACACACACACATACACACACACACTGGAAAGGTCAACTGTACCCTTCACACACACACACACACACTGGAAACCCCTTCCAGACGCTGAGCTGGGTGAGAGGCCCCTCGCCCCCCCCCTCCACCCTGCAGCCCCCCCCCAGGAAACTGTTACTGTCACGGTCACTGTCCCGAAGGGCAGGGAGCAGAGGGGTCCAGGATCCTCATTCCAGAGCCAGCAAGGCCAAAACTGCAACTTAAACCCAAACCAGCTGCAACTTAAGGCTGTGACACAATCAAGCCTAAGATGGTTCATTAGTCTTAGCAAATCTCTTGAAAGAACTCTTGAAATCCAGTACTCTCCCCCCTCCACCCCACCCAGCCCCAGGTCCTGCCTGCTGTAGGAGATTGCAGGGGAGGGGAGACACCAATGTGCTCCAGCAATCGCTCCCTTCCGAAGGGAGCAGGGACTGGCAGAGAAAGTGGGGGAGAGATGAGAACAGGGGTTGAGACACCCTGGCAGCAGACTGAGGAGAGACATGAGGCAGGTTTGCCTGCGGAACTTTGTAAGTTCCAACTCCACTTTAGCTTCTCTGTTAGTCTCAATCAGCCAAGTCTGTTTTGGGGCACATCATCCCTGTGCCTTAAAGGGTTTGGGATGGGAGTGACCCAGAGCAGAAGCCCAGAGCAAGAGGACCAAGGGAAGGAAGAGTGGGACAGAGGTGCCAGGGAGGTTCACAGAAGGGCTGGAGTTCCAGAAACTTGCTGATCCTATGTGGAAGGGACATTATTAATAAAATCCATAAATACCTGGTTGACCAATTTTACAATGGCGTCTTCACTATTCATCCAGGGACTGGCAAAGAATACACACTGTGTTCAGTATTTGTTGAGTGAATCAATGACCTTAAGGACTTTCCTCTCTCCACCTCCAAACCCTTTGGAGTGCAATGTGGGGTAGTGTTACCCTAGTGAGCACCCTGGGGTCAGGCTGTTCCTGTCCAATGATTCCTCCTACACCGCCCAGGCCATGCTGGGACCTGGGGTTAGGACCGCAGGCTGGCCTGCACTCAGTGCCAGAATGGGCCAGCTGCCTGAGCAACTCTGTGGGAAGCCAGCTGGATATAACAATGTAGGACTGCATTCACAACCCCCAAATCTCTCTCTGTGTGTGTAGGTTCTGAGCCTTGAACTCAGGGCCTGAGTACTGTCCCTGAACTTTTGTTCTCAAAACTTGAGTCACAGCTCCACTTCGGGCTTTGTGTGGTTAATTGGAGATAAAAGCCAGATTTTTCCTACCTGGGCTGGCTTTGAATTGTGTTCTTCAGCTCTCAGCCTCCTGAGTAGCTAGATTAGAGACTGATATGAGCTACCAGTGGCCACTTTCAACTACTAAATCTTACACTGCCTTTTCCCCCAGTGTTGGGACAATATTTGTAGGCCTTTGGTATGTGAGACTGTTGACTAACAAGAATATTCTGGGATTGCACAATGAGCAAACAGAACAGTAGCAAACGTGGAGCCAGGCAAGAGTCCCACATATCCCTGAAGAAGGAATCCTCTAGTCAGGGTCAGTCTTCAGTATGGAGGAGGTCGGAAATGGGCCCAGCCTTCCCATAGCAGGGACATTCTCTGTGGCAAGCCAAAGCCCATCCCAGAGTCATGCTTCCACTCCAGAAAGGTGAAGGGAAAGGGCACAGGGCAGCCAAGAAGAGAGTACCACAGTGTGCCGTCCAACAGGACAAGTACCATTTATTTCAGTTACAAGACAGGGCCCAAGTCAGTCTGAGGCACCATACCACAAACCCACAGCTGAGTGCTGTCCCTCCCCCACTCCCTACTCCCACTTCACACCCAGCCATCCACTTCAGCGAGAGTCCCAGAATCCAGCACTGGAAGCCGGTTCTTCTCCTATGGCCGCACATCTCTCTGAGCCGGGGGAGGAGCCAGCCTACCTCTCGGGGAGTGGCCAACAAGAGCAGCTGCAACATTGTCAAGTTAAATAAGCAAAGGTGGCAGTTCCCAGAGTCCCAGCCTGGGCCATTGTGCCCAGAAAGGTGTGGGAGGAGGGCTGTCTGAGGTGTCTGCAAGGCGGGGGCCCTGGCCTCAGGTCAACGTGTACAGGAGTCCCCACTTGAGGCCACGGAGAAGGATTCACACCAGGCCCTATAAAACCTTGGCTGAACCTCCTGACCTCCAGAGGCTTAGCCAAAACAAAACAAATCTGGACTCTGAACCCAAGAATCTCTCCCCTCGGAAGAGATGAAAGCAGTGAGCCTCTGGCTAAGCTTCCCCAAGCTGCCAGTGTTTGGGAAAGGACTAAGCACGTCCACGCAACCAGCTCAGAGAAGAAGCGCAGGCAGTGGAGTTCACATGACTCCTTTATATTAAAGTTTATTACATTTGGAAAATCTACTGTACAGGGAAAAACCCATTGGATTAAGTAGAGTTTTGCCAAAAGCAAAAGACGATCACTCTTTGGGAAACATTCCTGACTCCAGCCCAGGGTGGGGCTGCAGGAGCAAATGAATGGAGGAACGGAGAACTTGGTTCTTGATGGGAGGAACCAGTGCCAATTATGCCCCAAATGCCTCTTGTCTACTTCCGGGAGGGGGAGGGGAGACATCCCCAGAGATGGTGCCAAAGGCAAGAGAGTCTCTGGGTCCCTGGCCAACCTGCCACCCACCCCACAGTCCTATCTCCTCCATCTCCAGCCTGAGTGCCAGGATTCAATTCTCATATCGGCACCTCCCACATCTCACAGCAGCCCAGGCCACGGCCTTGGCCCTGAGTTCATGGACACAGATCTGACTGCGCAGAAGAGATGGCCACCCTACCAAGGGACCACCAAAAATGGGGCCACCAAACATTTTTGTCCATACCCTGTTGCATACATGAGTGATAAGCTCAAGAGACAACACACATGCTAACGCTACGTGTTTTGGCTTCCAGATTTGGTTCTTCTAGTTAATAAAAATAAAATAAAAAAATTAAACAAACACACAGACAAACAACAACAAACAAAAAAAAATAAAAACCAACGAAGTCTTCTTAACCCTGATGCTGTCTCCCAAATGTAGATTAAGGAAGCAAGATGGGGGACACCAATCAACTGGCTTAACTTACCCCGGAAGTAATGAAGTCTACTGGGGCTATGAACAGAGAGACTAAAGGAAAACATGTGCAAAAACAAGTTGGTATCTAAAGCAGACCTCCCCACAACACAAAGTGAATTCTGAGGGGCCCTGGATGCCCACTCACCAACCACCCGGCCACACCCACAGCCAGTCTCTACAGTAAGTGCTATGGTGTCTCTCAGCCAAGCCTCCCTGGGCCCCAGAATGCCCCAGCCACACAGCAGGCCATGAAGGTCCAAAGCAGTCGGGTCCTCTTTCTCACCAGAGCGAGGTCTGGGAGGGGTCGCTCTTTTGGAGAAACTGGGTTGGAATGGTGGGACTCTATGTGTGGCTGTGGTGGGAAGGTCAGATGCGAGAAACCCTTTGCACCCAAGCCTCGAGGCAGAAGATGGAGAAGCGGAGTGGGCGCCCCAGCACACCCTAGGAAACCGCATGGGTGGCTGGAGGGGTCAGAGGGCTGGGGAGGTGGCACGGGTGGTGGGGAGGCCAGGGCCTACAGTTCTTCACAGAGAGCCGAGTGGGAGCCTAGTGAGTGGCGGGGGGGCCCCGGGGGAGAGCCGTCCCTTATCAGGCATAGAATTCCTCCTGCTTGGTAGGTTTCTGGTAGGCGCCGCCATTGGCTTGCTTGGGCTCCTCCAAGGAGTAACTGCCCTCGTCCTTCTTCTTCATCCGGTACAGCATGAAGCCCACCAGGCACACGGCAAAGATGAGCCCCACAAGGCCGCCAGCAATGACCCCTAGGGTGAGTGGATAGAACCCAGCTTAGCTTAGTAGTGCACTGGGCTCAGCAGCAGATGCTCCCCAGCTGGACAGTGGAATGGAGTGTGGTCAGTCTCCTCCCCACCCAGAGCTGCAGCCTGACTCCTCCCTCCCCCCCCCCCCCCCCGCCAGCCTCCAACCCAAGAGAAGACTTACCTCCCAGCACTTCCTTTCTGTCCAGAAGACCCTGTGAGGTGCCCGTGGCCCCATCTTCCACGGGAGGCTGATTCCGAAGGCCAGGCTCCATGGCGACCACGGCTGTGTTCTCCCCAGATGTATCAAAGGTAAAGTCCTGCGGGGTACATCGGCATGGCTCAGGGCCCGGACCGCTGGGGCATCCAGCTGTTTCACACCCAGAGCAGCCAGCCCTGCCTGTCTGGGCACCGCCGCCAGCTATTCAGATATGTCCCCAGACACCTCCAAGACCCCACAGCCCAGTGTGTCCACACTGGACCCCCGGCTGGCCACGTCACAGATGTCACCTCAATGTCACAAAGCATTTTTTTTTCTATGAAAATAAAGGGGCTGGTGTTCAGTACAAAGTGTCCAGGTCCCATGATGCTCTATGGTAAGAAATAAAACTTGATGGAACTTTTACCCAGGCCCCAGACCTTGAAAGACTCACTCTGACCTTGTCATTAATCTGTTCAGCCCCGACGGAGGCCTTAGGGCCCAGGGGAAGGTGGAACCCTATTACCCCATCTTCACATTGAGGAGCACCCTGTGTGCTGTACGCTTGTGGAGTGCCAGGTATTCGGGGCCACCCAATGTCCCAGCAAACACAGAGGCTGCTCACCTGCTCCCCAGAGCCCTCTCCCGCTGGGAGCTGATTGGCGGCTCCATCCTCAACCACCTTCTCAGTAGCAGAAGGACCTCCCTCCTCCACTTTGGGAAGGTCAACTTCCTCAGGTGCTACAGGTGCTGAGGTCCCATGGTGGTCAGGCTGCAGGTCCCTGTGGGGAGGGGAGGTGGCGGAGGCCTGGGCTGTGGTGGCTTTGGCTGTTGAGGCTCGATGGGTGGTCAGGAGCTGTGTGGTCTCCCTGGGCTCAGTGGTGACCACCTTCTCCGGGACAGTAAAGTCAGAGTCCACTTTGCTAAGTACCACTGCCTCTCCCTCCTCAGGCCTCTCGATGGCCGGCACCATGGAGGTTGAGGGAGCTGTGGCACCTCTGCTTATGGGCTCTGGAGACGTGGGTGTGACTGTGAGGAGCCACACATCCTTCCAGGTAGAGGAAGATGGGCGGGACAAGGTGAGATCTTGCAAGACACCTGCAGAATCAGAAGCAAAGCATGTTGGGGTGATGGAGCACTAAGTCAAGTCCAAGGTCAGGTGGTGAGGAGGTAGAGCCTGAAGCCAGGGCTCAGTCTGACTCCTTGCTAGCTAGGACAGACCCTTGCTCTCTCTCCAGAAGTTGTCATGGCCAGGCACCAGTGGATCAGGCCTATAATCCTATCTACTCAGGAGGGCGAGATCTGAGAATCTTGGTTCAAAGCTAGGTCTGGGCAGGAAAATCTGTAAGACTTTAAAATTTTTTTAATTTTTTTTAAATTGTAAGAGTGACATACAGAGAGGTGTGTGAGACTCTTATCTCCAATTAACCACCCCCAAAAGCCAGAAGTGGGGCTACACTCCACTCCACACACTGACAAGAAGCTGCTCTTCCTTGCACACCTGCCTGGGTAGCCTGGTCTCCGAAACCTCAATAAAGATCCCAACCATGGAGCAGAGCAGGGGGCCATCAGAGACCTGCGGTGCACACAGCTTCCCAACAACTCCCTACCCTTGCGTCAGAAGGGACCAGAAGCCTGCACAGATCTCCCAGCTCTCAGGCCTCTGCTCTGATCAAATCCCTTCTGACTCCAGGCCTCATTCCTTTGTTCCATAAAACACAGTCTCCTCTGGGAGGCCTCCCAGCTCGGGGACCTCTCTCCCTCAGGGAAAAGGGAACTAGGGAAGAAGGGGAAAAAATGCCTATGGCTCTCAATAACCTTATGGTAAAAATATACCTCCCTCCACTTTTCTTGGTACTGGGGCTTAAACTCAGGGCCTTGTGCTCTCTCTTGTTCTCTCAAGATGAGCGCCCTCCCACTTGAATCGCTGCTCCACTTCTGGCTTTTTGCTGGTTAATTGGAGAGATAAGAGCCTCACAGACTTTCCTATCCAGGCTGGCTTTGAACTGTGATCCTCAGATCTCAGCCTCCTGAGCAGCTAGGGTTACAGGCGTGAGCCGCTGGCAGCTGACTCATTTTTCCCACTTTGCAGATAGGAAACACTGAGGTTCAGAGGAGCCAAACAGTCTTCCAAAGGCTTTGATGAGTGACAAGGAGAATGGGCCAGTGTGCAGCAGGCAGCACAAGGTCTCTGAGCCCAAAGCCTTCTCTTCAGTTCCTTATAGGTCGTCTCCCTATGCAGGCAGCTCTTTGCAGTCCAAGACCCTATTCTTTTCCTTTGTAAAACCACCTTCCCGGCCCAGCTGGATGGGACTAGGCAGGACAGGAAACACTATGTGGTCAGGACTCAGCCTCACCTGCGCCCGAGCCGGAGAAGTTGTCAGAGTCATCTCCAGAGCTGTCCTGATCTTCAGGAGGGACATTGGTGGCCACAGTCATCTAGAAAAAGATCAGAAAAGACTATGAGTAGTGGCTTGGCCAGAGCCCTGGGTCTCCCCTTCACCGTGCTGGCCCAGAGAAAAAGCCTTCGTGCATGGCTCTATGACCATCTCTGTATGCACCATGGGCCTCCCCAAACCTCTGAATGCAACCACAAGGCCCCATACTGGGGAGGGGAGCAAGTCCTTCCTAGCACACTCAGTCTGGTCAGGGAGCCCCAACCACTTAGAGAGCAGACAAACAGCTTTCTGCGAGTGCAGGCTGGAGTCCCCATGGCAGGGAGGGGTCTCATCAACCAGGGAGCTTTCAAGAATCCCCAGAGGCTGGGCACGGGTGGCTCATGCCTGTAATCCTAACTACTCAGGAGGCGGAGATCTGAGGATCACAGTTCAAAGCCAGCCCCGAGAGGAAAGTCTGTGAGACTCTTATCTCCAATTAACCACTTAAAAACTAGAAGTAAAATTGTGGCTCAAAGTGGTAGAGTACTAGCCTTGAGTAACAAAGATCAGGGACAGTGCCGAGGCCCTGAGTTCAAGCCTCATGATCAATCTTAATAAAAATAAAGAAAGAAAGAAAGAATCCCCAGGGACAACCCCAAGGCAGCCTGGGCCTGAGGAAGCTGGGTACCTGACCATGGCACCAAGGCCACAGGCTGGAGGACTAGGTGTCAGGATACAAGCGTGCAGGGTTGGGAGGGGGGGACTGTAGGGAGGCAGCACACCAAACCACGTTTGTGGTGCCTGGCAGAACTGGCTCCAAGATACAGGTATAGCAACAGGAGGACCTCACAGCCAGGTGGCTGGCTGGGTAGCTAGACGGTCCTGTTTAAAAATCAGACATGAGTCCAAGCAACTTGGTTGGCTAAAAATGGGGCAAATGCTAACATCGGTTGCAGCAAGTTGATGATATGCAAATTAAAACACTTCACAGCCTGGCCCACGTAGCGCCCACCAGCAGTGGCTGTTGTTCTAATCTAACTAGGGAATGAGCCACTGAACAGAGGAATGAAGGGTTCTGGGGCCCACAGCTGCCTCCAATGTCAACAGGCCTGTGTGGATAGAGGGCAAGGTGCAAGTGGATGGGCTTTCCTATGAAGAGTGGATAAGAGGGAGTCAGCTCATCCTGAACACTTGTCAGAACAGTAGAGGGGTGGGGACAGAGGGATGTCCCACAGGGACTTGGGGCTCATGGGCATCCGTGGCAATCCTGAGACAGAGCTGCACCAGGAAGATGTTCCACATTCAGTAACCCAGATCACTGAGACACAAGAGAATTCACACCAAACTTCCTTGCAAAGTACAAAGCAGAACTGTACAAAACGCACAGGGGCCCATCCACCAGGAACAGGTCAGAGTCCCTCCCCTTATCCCCTCTCAGGCCACATCCTGTCTTCCCATCCCAGATGGGGCTTCAAATGCCCGTGTTACCTCCAAACAGCTTTTGCAACTGGCCCTAGACTCTCCCATGACTTCCCCCTTTAGCAATTGAGAATACCGCCCACCAGGCAGGCTCAGCCACCAAGACCACAGCTTTCCCAAGGCTTCCGCTCCACTCTCCCCTGTCCATGGCCTCCAAAAGCTGGAGATGGGGCAGAGGATTAGGGCTTCACTCCTCTGAACCTGAGTCCCACGAGAGAGCGAGAAGCTTGCAACAGAAACTAACATCATGGGATCCAGGCCCTGTTCAACGGCCAAGGCAGAAAAGACTCACACAGGAACCCAGGGAGGCTGGCCTCACATCTGCACAGAGAGGCCCAGACAGGTTCAGTTTCCCAAGAGCAGGCCTCCTCTCGTGGTTAGATAAGATTCGGGCCCTAGAAACAATTTGTTCCCTTAGCTCCGGCAGGGCTTATCCCTCTGTGATCTTGTTTACACAACAAGCTCTTAAGCAAACGCTTTCCACACTGAAACAGGCAAACCAGCCCTCTAGCCTCCCACTGAAACAGGCAAACCAGCCCTCTAGCCTCCGGGAGCCAATCCTAACCTAGGGGCCTCCAGTCTCTACCCTCTGTCCTCTGTCCGCCAAGTCTCCCCTCCTCTATCCCCTCCCATCCCCAAGCTGGGATCTTGTGTGATATCTCAGCAATTAGCAGAAACTGATTTTGAACTGAGATTCTCAAGGGGCCAGCTGACAGTTTGGGGCCTGACTTCCACATTCTTTGGGTAAGCCCGCTATACTGCCAGCCGGAGCCCTCTGCCCACAAGGCCTTAAAGGGCGCTGTCAGCATCACCTTGGATTTGGGTTCTTCTGAGACTTCTTGGTCACTACTCACTAACGGTCAGGGACAGGCAGGCTCAGCCCAGAGCCCACCTCCTGTCACCTGTGGCAATCTAACCCAACCTTTCACCTTTCCAGGTCCCAGGAAAGTAAGTCGCCCATTGGACTAATCAAAACCCTAGAATAAATCCCACTTATGAGGGATCCCACATACTCCGTCCCCTCAAAGAAAGGGCTAATCAACCCCTTCCCTACCCACAGCACAGACCCAAAGCTGGAAGGGACTGGGGAACCCATGGAACAGACACAGGGAGTCTGGAAGAGAAGACCAGACAGACAACCAATCTTGTTTGACTCAGTCTTTACTTTCCTGGCCACCCCCTGGGGATGTGTGGGAAGGAGCTGGGGAGAGACACAAGGCCGGCTGGTACAGCAGGAACAGGCCTGAAGGCTAAGGCCTTACCTAAGGCTAGAACACAATTCACCTGCACTTTAGCCGGCTGGGTTGAGATTAGGATCTGATAGATAAGGAGCGGCTCAAGGCCTTGCAGCCAGCATGCTGGCTCCCCTCATCTGCCATCTCCCTCCCCTTAGCCCTAATTCCCTGGCTAAGCCCATGTGTTTGGATTGGAGTTAGGGAGCAGAGGAAATGGCATGGATGCCACTGGGCCAGCCACACCCAAGAGCATCTCTGGAGCTTGTGGGCAGAGGGTTCCAAGGAAGCGCCAAGAAGACAGTGACTGCCAGGTCCCACCCCCACACTGGCCATAAGCAAGGCCACCCTCCTTGGCTACTTCCTTTTGATGGAGCCCCGTGGAAAGGCCACCAGGGGCAGGAGCACTCCACCAGGACATTGGGCCTCAGCAACGTCACAAGCAAGTCGATATCTCTGCAAGATATTCAAGTATGGTGGACCCAGAGGTTAACTGGAAATGCAACCAAGTCCTGTGGCTTCCAGCCATCATGAACACACTAGCACGGCCCCTGCTGCTTGACCTGGGTGACAGCACACATCACAAATCCCCTTCGAAGGCATTACTGACTTCCTGGGGTCATGTAATTTTTTTTTTTCCCAATCAATGTGCACAATAGCCTAGAAGAAGGTCACAGGAATTTGGTATAAATTGGGATTCTTTCCAATGTCAGAAATTGGAGACCATACTCCAGGGGTGAAGGAAGGCGGCACCTCCAGTTAAACCCAGGAGAAGATAAAAATAATGTCATCCCAGAATGCCAACCCGAGCTGCAGAGCAGCCTTTGTCTGGCGGACTGGGAAAGGGAGGTGTGGCCTGTGCTGCCAGGTGTGGTAATGAAATCACTGCATCAAGTCCAATTAGTCACCACACCAGTGACGAAGAGCAGTCCTTATCAAAGGGCCAGGACTCCTCCCTTTCCCCAGCAGCCTGGATCCTCCGCAGGGCACTGACCCTGGAGCTGGTTTTCAAGAAAACCCAACCATCATGCCAGGCTAGACACTTGTCATCACTGTTCACTGGGATTGCAGACCGCTGCTAACCACTTTGGAAAGCTTCAGAGTCAGTATGTAAGAAATCTGATTTAGCAAAAGAATGAAAAATGGAGGTTGGAGGTGTGATTCAAGTGGTAGAGCACCAGCCAATGAACAAAAGCCTCAGATACTTAGTTCAAGTCCCAAACAGACTGTTGGGGAAGTGGGTTTCAGTGGAAGGGGTTAGAAGGTGTGAGTGAAGGTGCGTATGATCCAATTACTTTACCCCATGGGTGAAAACAGAACAATGAAACCTGCTGAAATTGTCTTAAGGAGGAAAAAAACGGGATGAGGTTGATGGGGTACTTAGTATGCAGGTATGGAAATATCACAATGAAACACCTTTGTACGGTTAAACTCAGTGCCTAGATACTATCCCTGAGCTTCTTTTGCTCAAGGCTAGCATTCTACCACCTTAAGCCACAGCACCACTCCTAGCTTTTTCTGTTATGTGATACTGAGGAATTGAACCCAGGGCTTCATGCATACTAGGCAAGCCTTCTATCACTAAGCCACATTCCCAACCCCATATCTGGTAATTTTTTTTCTAACTTCATTAAGAACCAGGTCTTAGTAACTCATGCCTGTAATCCTAGCTACTCAGGAGACTGACATCTGAGGATCCTGATTCAAAGCCAGCCCAGAAGAAGAAAGAAAACAAAACAAAACTAAACTAAAACTAAAACATGAGACTCTTACCTCCAACTGTCAAAAAGGTCTTAAGGTATGGCTTAAGTGATGGTGCACCAAGCTTGAGTAGAAAAAGCCAAGCAAGAACTAAAAGCCCTAAGTTCAAGCTCCAGTGCCAGCAGAGAGAGGGAGAGAGAGAGAGAGAGAAAGCTTCATTTAATAAAGTATCTGGCTGGGTATCAGTGGCTCACTCCTGTAATCCTACTCAGGAGGCTGAGGTCTGAAGAACATGGTTAAGAAAGTTCATGAGACTCATCTCCAATTAAATACCAAAAAGCTGGAAGTGGAGCTGTGGCTCAAAGTGGGAAAGCACCAGCCTTGAGCAAGAAAGCCCAGTGACAGCAAAGCACCCAGACCTTGAAATAACTGGTTTTAGTCCTCAGTCTCTTGGTCAGATCTATTGGTCTAAGAAATATGGCCTGACTCCCCTTCCCCACCAGGAGCCACACAGCTGGAGTGTGTCCCAACTATCACCTTCACCCAGGGGCTCTAAGGACCACAGGAGATGGTCACAGCCAGTCTTCTTAGTGCCACCCCACAGGCTGACTTTTGACAACAATGGTTTTAGAGAAGAAAGGCCTGGGGG